CTCTAATTGTTATCTTACTTTACGCATATTGATTACCTCATTTTTCGTCCTTAAATTATATCTGATATCACTCTCTTCTGTTTGACTCGATCTTCTGCTTGTCATTCTTCCTTGTTAGCTAATTTCTGCTTATTGAGCATTACCTTGTTCTACTTAACCAATTTTCAGTACACTCATAATGACACTGCGGGATGCGCGATAGACTTGCCTCATCGAGGTGCACCCTGGGCACTGTATACTCATACGCAAAAAAGTCCATTAACTGGAAGCTGACTTCTGACTTCAAACTAACAGGACCCCACTACATGCAATATTCGACCGCTTCCGCAGTTCTCATCTTACCTTTTTTCTGCCTTTATGTCTGTCTGTCTCTTCAACATCTGTGAATCACTCTTCTGTTCCAACCCCCCCCCCCTCGACGTTTTGTGAAGATGTGACTTCGACAGGTATTCATTTGATTGAAGTTGATTCGCTTGTGGAGTTTGGGGCGTAAATTAAAGATAGTTTCAATGCTGTGACTTCAGCTTACGCAAGGTAAATTCTATGTCATTCTGTTAAGTAAGGTATCAATGGAATAAGTGGCAAAATTGCAAGAGAATTATGATCTGTGCTCACGAAATTTAATACAAATGTTGCAAAACGTAGTCTCCAACAGAACTCTGAACTTATAAAGTGGGGTATTTTGCAGCCTGAACTCCAAAGATAACTTGACCTCTCAAAAAAAGAAAACTTCATCATTAACCTCCTTTCCCCTAAGAACACGTTATCTTTAAAGTTATGCATTGTTACGTTCAAATCGTTATTTGTTAAGCTCCCATTAACTAATGATTTTTGTTAATTAAATAGACCTACTACCCAATTTTGTTTTCAGTACATTATCTGAAGAAATATATTCCAAAATAGTTTAAGTAGTATACAGTTTAAGGACGTGGTTTAAAATTCATTTATTTATATCAAATGGCAAGCTTTATGATAGTTACCACTAGACCTTTAAGTGGCTTCGGGTTTCACAGAGGGGAGGACCATTGCAGTGAGAAAAATTTTAGAGGGGGAACAGAAGAGTGATGCACAAATGTCAAAGAGGTGGATGCAAAGGTAGAGAAAAAGGAAAGGTGAGTACTGTGAAAGTGGTCGAATATGACATACGGTGGGGTCTTGGCAGTTTGGAGTGAGAAGTCAGCTGCCGGTTTATAGACTTTTTGGCGTATGAGTATACGTTTTCCAGGCTGCACCACGTGGAGGTAAGTCTATCGCAGAACCCAATGTGGGAAATTATAAATGAGTCAAGGTTGCACGATCAACTAAGATCTTAAACCAGTTCGATAACATGCACTAAGTATCGTAGATTTATTCTCTTCCATGAATTTTGAAATCAATACCTAATTGGATTTATCCCCTGCCTTTCTTCCCATTGCTATACTATTGTGTTTGTTTGTTGAATGTGGTCTTTTTAACACCTGGAATGAGTGGCTGCTATTGGACACTTATATATTTGACTTCATAAAATACGGTCTATTATGAAATATAAATTGGGGTGTGCGAAAGACTAACCTCCACGTGGAGTACCCTGGGAAAGGTATACTCATGCGCCAAAAAAGTCTATAAACCGGCAGCTGACTTCTCACTCCAAACTGCCATGACCCCACTGTATGTCATATTCGACCACTTCCACAGTACTCACCTCACCTTTTTCTCTACCTTTGCATCTGTCTCTTTTGCATTTGTGAATTGCTTTTCTGTTCCCCCTCCCTCTAGACTTTTTGTGATTTTGCCTTTTCCCCTCTTCTGTGAAGCCCGAAGTCAACCAAAGGGCTAATGTTAGCTATCATAAAGCCTGCCATTTGATATAAATAAATAATTTTTTACAGCCACTTGGATTAAGCAGGAATTGCCAACAAAGCAATGCTGACAAAAGTATATTCAAGAGGAAATTTTAAAATATAATTACATTAGATTGCTACATTTTTTTTGACTTCTTAGTCATCTCCACATCGATTCGTGGGGGTAAATAACTTCAGTAAGGAAATTCAATTGTTTTTATCCTTAATCTAATGCGTACTTAAATTAAAGAATGCTAGAAATTTCACGTTTTCCCAATCTGATGAACCTGGGCTTAGCAGCAAGATTTTTCTTTCTGAATTTACTGTACCGGCAGTGTCCTGAACGTTGCAGTGTAAACAGCACCTCAATATGCATGATCAAGCAAGTTCAGGTAGTTCAAATCTTGCAAACCGTTTAATGGTTCGCTTTTTACATATCCAACACAAACAGAGGGGTGGGGGGGGGGGGTTTATGGACCTAAATATACACCCACTTCCATCCCCTTCGATGAAATTAAATTTTTCGCCATTGATAAATAGCCAAATGTCATTTTATGTGGGCGGGGGCGGGGGGGGGGGGGGCAGATATTTGGCAATGCTAAATGCTAGCGTCTTAAAAATCTGTTATTCTGTGATTCAACAGATGTTTCCTCTATTGACTATCAAATGAGAAGGCTGACAATAATAACTTATTCGGTTTTCCAACGCAGAATGACAAGTTAATTAATTCCTTCACAGCATAAATTATCGAAATATTTCAAGTCGGCAAGCAGGTAAAACGTAGGAGTGGCTCATGTTACTAGTAAAGTAGTGTTCTATACGAAAATTGATTACTATAATTTCGTTCATAATAGTCAAAAAGCAATTGGCAAAACACCGAGCTATCCATATTTGGTCACAGCTACTTTGGCGTTATTTTTAGGGGACAACTTCTAGAATGGTATTCTCGAGTAGGGATCGTCAGAGCCATAATGGACTTCAATATTAGGCTTCGTTTGTTTCTTTGTTATTTTGAAACTGAAAGAACAAAAACGCAAGTTAGCGGAAAAACCAAAGTAAGGAATACACATGCACCTACCTAACGTTTTTACGGAAATATGTGCAGAATAGCGCAGATATCACAAACAGTGGAATGAGAACTACTGAGGCGATGAAAGTTGTGGTCTGGAAGTAAACAAGTAAAAACAATTGAATTAATTTTTTGACTAAATATTCTTTCAGTCCAAACCAATATAGACATTTCAAGTACCTGGTAGTTCAATTGCAACCCAAACGGACGAGAAATCGAAAAACTTCAAGAACTATATCATACTTTTGTCTTTTTTCATCCCTTCTGGTGCATTCAGCGCTTAAGAAGCTCTTAAAATATGCACTAATAAATTATTTAAAATCGGGGTGTGCGATAGACTTAACTCCACGTGATGCACCCTGAGCAATGTATATTCATACGGCAAAAAAGCCTATTAACTGGCAGTTGATTTCTTACTTCAATCTACCATTACCTTACTCTATGCCATATTCGACTATTTCCGCAGTACTCACCTCACCTTTTTTCCACCTTTGTGTTTGTCTCTTTTACATTTTTGAAACACTCATCTGTCCCCCCCCCCCTCTCGGATTTTTTTTCAATTTGATGTTCCTCCCCTCTGTGAAGCCTGAAATCAACTAAAGGGCTAATGATAACCATCAAGACGCCTGCCATTTCATATAAATAAATTATTTACAATCGCCTTGACTACACTAAATTAAAAATATATGCTAAAATGAAGGTCCATTTCCACATATACTCTTTTTAATAGACGAAGTGCGTTCAAAATTGGTCAATTCATACACGACTAAGAAAAATATAAATGATCATAATTACGGGTTTATGAGAGTCTTAACCAAAATACTTACAATATTATCATCAGCCTATTTGTTCTTCTGGGCAAAAGTACAATAATAGTGCTAATAAAATAATTTTCGATTAATTATCATATCCTTCATGGCTTCAAAATCAGCGTTAGTTGGTGGGCAGTTAAAATATATGTTTGAACCACGACGCAAGAGGGGGTCTCTTGAAGAAACTTGAACACTTTTTGATGAGAAAAACCCATTAAGGAGCAAAGAATCTTCCCGATCATTAGGGTTAGACGCATACCATTTCCAAATGGACGTTTTAGTGGAAGTTAATAGTTTCTTCACCACAAAAAGTGTTTATTTATTTATATCAAATGGCAGGCTTTATCATCATTATCGTTAACCCTTTAGTTGAATTCGGGCTTCACAGAGGGGAGAAACAGACAAAGACACAAAAAAGTCGAGAGGGAGGAGGATGGAACAGAAGAGTGATTGACAGGTGAGAAAAAGGCAGGCACAAAGGTAGAGAGTAGGGTAAGGCGAGCACTATGGAAATGGCCGAATATGACACACAGTGGGGTCATGGTAGTTTGAAGTGAGAAGTCAACTACCAGTTTATAGACTTTTTTGCCGTATGAGTATACGTTTCCCAGGTTGCACCACGTGGAGGTAAGTTTATCGTACACTCCTCACAACTAAATAAAAAATGTGCTATTTGCAAATAGCAGATAATAGCTATGTGAATCCGATACCATGGAATTATGAAATAAGAGCCAATATTTACAGTATCTATACAAACGGGTTGCCCACAAGTTCTTAAATCACGACAAAGATCTCAATTTTACTGTTGAAAGCTTAGTACCCCTTATCCAAAAAATATATCTGAAACATACTTTCCGTTCAATTGATTTACTATGCTTCAACAACCAATGGAAGTGTATGAGCAAGGAAGAAAGAGATGAAGGTCATGGGGGGGAGAGAAGGGGGTGTAAGATAAACGATTTGTTTAGTACAGGCAGATGAACTGGATCATAAGGGGTCAATATGAGTATAATTCAGTAATTAACATGCGGATTTTCTAAGAGTTCAAAATGGAAAGTCCGTTCCAAATGTGGCGGAACTTAAAGTGCTTAGAAAAGTCCTCCTATGTTACCACAGGGTGTAAAAGGTTACTAAGGCCCATGAACATTACCCCTAGAACTGATCTAATTTTCACCTTTATTTCAAACTGTAATGCATCTCTTTGAGTTAAAAATTGGCTAGAGCTTTTGATTTCCCAAGGTATAAGTATGTAAGTAATCAGATTACCTCTTAAACTACAATTTTAGGAATTTAAAAGCGCAGTATCTAACTAGATGGCTTACCTGAGTGAAGTGTGTTTCGCACCTCTCCCCAGTCCATCCAACTTCACATTGGCACTTGGCTCCAAACTGGTTCACATTCTCAACACATTGTCCACCATGCAAACAAATGGAAAGTTGGTCTTTAGGCAATCTCTGGAAGGCCAATTCACAAGCACTTGGCTCTTGTATTTCACAGAGAACACCCTTCCATCCGGGATTACATTTGCATACAAAAGTTTCCCTAGTTTCCTTGAAATTCTCGCATTTGCCTTGACCGTTGCACGTGATGTTGTGGCAAAGCTGAAAAAATAAGGCAGAGTGTGACCCGCTTTGGTGGCAGATTGAAAGAAAACGGCACCAACTTACATCCCGACGTTCACACCTTGTTCCAGTGTAGCCTGGTTGACAGCGGCAGGCATAACCGACTCCGTCGATGTTGTCATGGCAGGTTCCGTGATTTAAGCAAACTTCGGACCCTATTATTATACTGGCACGAGCACAAAGTGCACTTGCTTCAGGAGCGGAAGTAGTGGTTTTGGTGCTTTTAGTCGGTAACTCCATTGCCGCTTGGTGAATAGCTGAATCTGGATAAGAATGAGGCAGTGATCAATCAAATGATTTTGCCTAGAAATTGTTGCATAAAAAAAGGAGTATCTTTGTCCTGGAGAAATAAATTTAGCAGTGTGTTGTTATTTGTGCCAAAATTTGCATATTCATTGAGAGTATTTGTTCTGCGAAACTTCGAAGTGGAACCTTGGATTAAAGTAATTTATTGTTTTAATTGAGTTCAGGGAATTGTGGCTGTTTGAAAGGCAATTTGTTTATTACAGTAGCGAATATACCTTATTTACTATCTTTGACAATTTTACTATAACGAAAGTAAAATGGCCTTAGGTTTCATAACAAACAATGGATCATCCGTGTCTATAAAATATTCTTGTTAGCTTACACAGAGAAACACATAACTCCTAGTGTTCCTCACACATCTGAAACCGTTGCCACTCTAAATTCATCTGATAATTTTATCCTATCTAAGATCTCCTTTGCCTCTCAATGCAACTCATATTCAGCCTGCCAATAGTAACACAAAGCTGCACCTACCAACGAATCTCATGCACTTAATGGGATCTTTCTTGCCTAAGTCGCCCCGGCATAACTTGTCCGCTACCCTACTATGGCAAAACAGCTATCAGTCCCGACATTAAGTTTGCTTGATCACCAGACGGATAAAATATGCTGTCTAATGGGGTAGAAGGAATATACTTTGTACTTTTCCACTCCCAGAACTCCTAACTTCCCCAGTAAGATCCAGTTTCAAAAGGAGTTTGGTCAGTGCGACAATATTTGAGCAACTCTAAAGCTCGTTTTCCGTCCTATGCAATTAACAATGAAAGATGATAAATACAAGCAACCCGAAGAAATAGGTCAAGGTAAGCCTGTTTCTTTCGTAACTGAAATTTTTCCAATAGTGGCTGCACGAAATGTAGGCATGGTTCTGCTTCCTTGTTGCCAAAATTATATGTTCTCCCCAAACAGACGTTCCATGGTTCCACATTGATCTTAATAATGCTAAGTCTATCCCAAAAAATACTTATATTCAAAGTTGCTTGAGTTTATCCGTCAGTAGGAGCTTTCGACGTATATTTGACAGCCACCGTAAACTAAAAATTACTATATCCTGAAACGTCACCCAGTCCTCTTCTACTCTAATTGAGGACTTTTGTAACGTCTTAAATATCGACCTAAGCTGAAAGGTCTGGTTGATGATAAGATAGAAAGTTAGGGAAAGCGTAGAGTGGAGCAGATTCTTAACTCCTTCTTGCTTTGCTACCGAACGACACCTTGTGCTTATGTTCAAAGCTGGGTATGCTCAACGTCCACGTTCTTAGTAAGTAATCATATCTCCGGGATCGAAAATGAGTCAACAGAATTCCATCTAGTCCCTCCATTGTAGATATTCGGAATTCATAGGACTCAACACAACCATCGACCGGACCGTTACTCCGGACGCTCTAGGAGACCTTGGAAAGGATTTAAAGGGCCTAGCCAAGCGCGACTTCTTAATTTAACTGTGTTAAGTGAATGAATTTCAAATACACCCATATTTTTCCCCCCTATTAATTTACTCAAATTAGTAATCGTTTATGTGGTTCTTCTTCCTTCTGTCCTACCAACGAGTTGCATGCCAGTTGAAAATCGTACTTTTTATGGGAAACCACTAAACAGTAGTAACATTGCAATTGCCATTAATTCTGGAAAGTGAATTAAGTGCCTTTATTGTTCCAAAAGCATAGGGAATAACAAATTTTCTCACTCAATAAATAATAATGGATTTAGATTTTCCCACTATTAGTACAAGTGCACTATGAATCTGAGAAGTAGAAAGTCCCATGCAAGTAACGAAAGTAAGTTCTAAAAGTGATTATCATCAGTTAGCTAAAACAATATCAACATTAGAAAAAACAACACGAAGTTTATGAAAAGGAGAATAAGTTTTTTCTATAATCTTTTGGAAATTTCAATTTTTCTAAGGTTTCAGTTGGTATTCCGAAGTTCAATGAACTGAAAAGGTTTTAATTTAGTTCAATTGAAAATTACATGATAGCTCTGGTCTCAGAATGTGCCATTTGTAGGGTTGAAAATTACCAGTTATTTTGAGATGCAATCTGACATGATATTGGCTTTACGTAAAAGCTCAAACAAAGACATGTTTGAACTTGTCAAAACTTGTAAATCTTTGTTCTATTTATAATCAAAAGAATGCATTAAATAAAATAAATAACTAATCTGTCTAGATATCATTTGTTCTCTTCAGGATTTGCAAAGGTTGTGCAGGCTGTAAGTGGCTTTGTTTAAGGTAACAAGGACGATAATTCAATTTTCTTCGGAGTAAAGTGTTTAGAAGTTGGCTCACTAATTGTTTAGATCGAGAATACATTTGCAAAGCTAATCGCCAAACTCTGCGATAAGAGATCTGTGACCTTATTTATCGTTACCGTAATGGAATTAAGGGTCTTGAAATTATTATGAAGAATACGATCAATATGGCATTTAAAACGTCACCAAGGTGTTGACGTTCTTGGTATATTTTCTTGACTTTAGAAAGGAGAGGTTTGAAGGGGTTCTGCCACTAATACTGAGCTACAAGCAACAACAGCCAACTATTGTTTGTTCATTTTAGGTCATTTGACAGCCCTTAGAGGGTGGAGCCTCAGAATTATCAAAATGTTCCTTGATTGAACCTTGAGAACCAATCTTCTTCAACGAAACATCTCTCAAATGTAGTTTTCAGAAGAGCCCTGGTATCAATTGTTGCTAAAATGCAGTATCCATAATTCAGTGTTCCATGTTTTTTTCCTAAACAAAGGTGAACGTGAACGCCATATGCGTCATCAGGTTAATCACATGATTATACAGTGTTGACTTCTGAACAATGTGGCCTGAGAAATTTGTTGTTCCATTTAATGGCATGCGTGTTAGAGAGCACGCCTCCTACATTCAGGGCAGCAAAAATTACGGTTTTTAAGCCCAGCTGGTCACAGAAGTGGGTTGTCTGGACTAAACCGGCGCGTACAAGCGAGCAGACAGCCAGCATCATGGCCGACACTGTGATACGGTGATACAATGGGAGGATTTATTACAGTAAACGCGGCTGCAAATGGATCAAGATAATCAATAATTGCACGGGATATCGAGGCAGAGACAAGTGGATAAATAAAATAAAAAATTTAATTTTTAGCTGTTCAATTGTTTGAATCAAGCCAAACACCTTTAAACTGGATTGCACAGTTTATTTAATTTTAATAAGTGATACCTTTGAAAGGATACAAAATGAACTAAAATAGCATGAAAACCATTTAGTTCTACGAATTATTTAACAAACACCTAATTTCGAGGAATTTAATGTGACCCGAGAACAAGGGGACAAAATTAGGAAAAGTGTGCAGCTTAATATTTCCAGAAATTGAATGCAGCAAAACTCTTGGCATCGTCACTTCAATATACTCTTCTGTTTGACCTCTTGTTTCATCTATGGCACTGTGGACTATGGTACTATTTCGCTTGTTCAAACATGATTAAAGTTTTTTCCATTTTTACCATTAACATGGGTGATTATATTCAGACTGTCTTGAGTCACTGAGTGAGGCACCAAAATAGAGATAAATATCTAGCTGAACAATAAAACTTCTCTACGGTCGCTCTTTTATACTGTTGCATCTCTGAAGAAATAAAAAGAAATGAATTGGATTTTTAATCAGCCGAATACCAAACGAGGTAATGCATTGAAAGCGAGGGCCCGATTAAAGTTGCGTGTTTAATCAAATTATAAGAATATTAGGTTACGTAGGCCATCCGCTTGGAGAACGATTCAGATATTTTTAGTATGTCTGGTGTGAAAGCATTAATTTTGGATAGTTGGTGCGCAGCTTTCAAGCCAGACCTGGATATTCTCTACTTTGTCAAACTTGACCGCCAGTTGCCCCCCCCCCCCCCCCCCCCTCCTCCACTTATTGCAAACTACATAACCAATTGTAGTTGGGAGCTGTAAGAAGTGCTGTTGAATATATGGACTTCTGCCTTCTTTCCACTCACTGTACCTGTACTGATCAATCTTATCCATCATATTATTTTCCTGAGCATGAGGTGTGCGTTAGACTTACCTCCACGTGGTGCACCCTGGGCGACGTATACTCGTACGGCAAAAAAGTCCATTAACCGGAAGTGGACTTCTGGCTCCAAACTACCATCACCCCACTGTATGTCAAATTCAACCATTTCACAGTACTCGCCTTACCCTTCTCTTTTTCACACCTGTCAATCACTCTTCTGTCCCCCCCCCTCTCCAATTTTTCTCACTTTGATGTTCCTCCCCTCTGTGAAGCTAAAGGTCTAATAATAACTGTCAAAACGCCTGCCATTTGAAACGAATTAATAAATAAACCTCCCCGAGCAATGATGGTATTTGGAAGGGCCAGTCAAATGACTTCTTATCTTTTTTTTAACCTGAAGTAAACCTAATATAATTGAAGTGCCTAGATATGGGAAACTTGTGGAATGCAGGTTATTAATACCAGACAACGTGATAAAATCCCTTTGTGGCATGGCTAGCGATTATAGTTCCTGAGTGAAAGAACATTCGTGGAGTTACGTGACTTATGGCCTCTGCCTAATTTACCAGTTCTAAACGAATGGAAGTCAAGAGACAATCTTACAGAATAATTTGAGTTGAATGGCTTCTTGGTGTTTAGCCAAATGCTTACATGTCTGAATTCTTAGTTGATTGGAGACAAATAAGTTGCTTGTACATACCTAAACCAGATTCCATTGCATGATACTGACATATTTGGCCAAAGTAGTTGGGATTGCATTCTTTTCGCATTGAAGCCTCAATCCTGAAATACGAAAATGTAACTAGAAAGTGATGTCAAAGGGCAGAACGCGTAGTCTTGATAGACGGTAGAGGGAGAGAGCTCACTTGAAGTTGTTCAGGAAGATGGTTTTAGCACGCTCGAGCTTGAGTGGTGTGTATAGACTTGTGATATTGTGGATGAAAAAGCTACCCTGAACCCGACCAATGTAATCAAAGTTGGTAACAACATCATATTCCCAGGCTTCAATTAGTACATAAATTTTCTGCCAAAAGAAAGAGGATAAATAATGTTGCAAAATGACTTTAACGTTTTAAACAAAACTGGATGCAAAGCAAAATCGACCATTGTCAGCGTTCTGAACAGAATTCACCCCTTGTATACTGAGCCATTCCATTATTGCTATTTCAAGCCATTGCCTGAGACTGTTCCAGTAATGTCTAACCAGGCAGCCAATTAACCTCACTCAAGGGTCTGTATGCAGTTAAAATGCCATACTAATTAAACTTTTGTCTGAGTTCCTGGTCTTTTATCTTCTTCTTCTTCCCGTTGAGTATTAGCAACTAGATGATCACCTAGAGATAATAATAATAAATACGTACTGTTGAAGTTAAATTCTTTTATGTGGTGTCAAACTGTCTTGGGTCATCTATCAGTAATCTTTCATGACCTCTCAGTCTTATTCACAGTGGGATTTATTTATGGATATGTTAAAAATTCACGCGCATCTTTCCAACCATGTTCATGAATAAATAAGGCGTTGGAGCATCTACGACTGTTAAATTCCATGAGGATAAAAAGAATGAATTGTTTTCTCCTTTGTTCAATGCCTTTTCCCCTAATAAAAGATCCTTATTTTATGCCAGAATGATAAATTAAAAGGTTTAATTCATCACTTTTCTTAACTACCAGATGTGCAACATGACCAGGGAAATGAATTCATCGTCTTTAATCCCGATCATCAGGTTTATTCCCAAAATGGAAGGGGGGGGAACTTCAATTTTGTTGACTTATTTCTTCTTTCATTTTCTCTACCTATTTACTCTTCGATCACGTGGTCGTTTCTTATGCTTATGCGATTGGTGGAAATGCTATTGCAAACCATTGCTTTTCACATTAAGGATTTGCAATTCTTCAGACAAACACAGGTCTTAAGCATAGGAAAGCGTACATACAAAGCGACACTAGAAGCCTTTCAAACAAAGAAATGAGAAATGCTGAAATGGTCATGGAGAATGCAATAACCGGATGAAATAAACTTGCCTTAAACAAGACTGCTAATTTATGCAACATTCTTCCTGAAGGCCTAATATGTTAGTTTTAAAATTGAATAAGCGTGCAAATAAGAACGAAATGCATGCAAATAATGTAAACAAAAGGTAAAATGCGTAGTGACTTGCATTCGTGGGCGGTCGGAAGGAGAACTGAAAAGCCGAGTCGCCCTTGTAAGCCACACTGAAAACATTTTTAATCGCTGGGGTTGTGGCCTTGAAGAGGTCACAATCTCTGTGAGGAAAGTGCAAGAAATGCTTTTGGTTACTTCGTTTGCAGCATTTATTCAGTTAGCACGTATAATTTCATAAAGAGTTAAGGGACGCTTATAACATTAAGCTTTCTGAGCTTGTGGGACACTTCATCAATGACCAAATAGAAATCCTGCTATAGAACACTACTCAGAAATATTTAGCTATTAATGTTCACGCGAATTATGCTAGAGTTATCTGATAACTAAATGCTTTGCCAAAAACCACGATTCGCTATCCTTATCTGGTGAATAAACGTTTCAGTGATACGTCTCTTTCTTCTGGAGACTCAGTAATTAGGAGAATCTATCACAAAGGTTTCTGAGACTTAAGCCAGGCTTTACTAGCGTATCAATCCGCTACAAGCTCCTCAGTGGTTGTGTAGTCAATAAAATCGAGTAGCTTTGCTTTTTCAACACACTTAGGTCGACATATTCAGAGCTATTGTCCAGCAAATGAACAACGTTGTTGGAAGGGTAGTTGTATGGACTCGATACCATGAAAAAGTACTGACAAATTTGAATCAAAATTCGTCCCAAGGAGACAGAATTTTCTCGTTGGCTGTTTGTCCGTGTTCATCTCCTAGGATGAAGATTTATAACCAGGCAGAAAATCCATCAGAGGTATCTGAGCTGATCTAAAGATGCATGTTATCTTACATATACAAGCGCACAGTTAATCATAAAATGTTCAAGAACGTATCTGAACTTCTCCTAAAGGTGAAATACGTGGTTTGCGATTCAGGGAAATGAGAGTTTAAACCTAACAGGCTTTTAAATAACAAATGATAAATGGTAGGATTTTAAAACCGCTTTAATCTTCCCTTATGAGATAATCAATTTGAAACATACCCATTGCTATCGGATTTGACACAGATCCTAAAGAAGGGATCACAAGTGTCAAAAAAGTCGCATTCATGTCCATCTGCTAGTGCACCATCTATGGTAGTGAAGACGAAAGACAAATGCAATATTCCTCCAGGCTGCAACAAACAAGCAAAAATGACAAAGCAGTAGTCGTAGTGTTTGACTCAATAGTGACAAGGCTGAGCACACTTACTTTTCCCTAAGGTTAAGTGCATTCAATTTGTTTACCCAAATAATCGTACCTTCAAGCCACATTCTAAGATATATTCTTGTCAAGGCGCTGGTCCTTTGGTTTATCCCCAATACACTACTTTTCTTACATGTAGCTTGCCATAGTGATAGAATAAAGAAGTGCCTTATAAGCAGTGTAAAACTTACTTATAAGGGAATATGGGAGTTAGGTACAAATTGCATAAATTGCATAACATAAATCTACTCCAATGGACCCAAAGCCATGCCCTGATATTTGAAGGGTACTCTACATGAAATATGTGGTAAATTCGAATCAGATAATCGATTGGATTGATTAAAATTCTTAGTTTTTCTTCGTAAACTCACACTCCTCTCCCCCCCCCTCCCCCCCAACTCTTCAAACTATTTTGCTGCTATCCAGTTTAGATGTTTTGCCACGATTGAAAATAGCAAAGCCTGCACTTTGTCATGGGTAATAATAACGATAATTGAAACTCACTCCACTCGGTAGCATAATGCCGGGATTCTCGTCGGCATGCGCGAGGCAGATCAGGCACAAAAAAATAATCCACGCGTTGGTCATGCTCGGAAAGTGGCGAGTGAGGCATGTGTAAAATGTCAATCTGGTTGCTGGTTATTAGTTTAGATTGGACTGTTTACGCGATAACGCATTCGTTATTGGCTATGAGGCTTCATACTGCTAATACACGACCGAGAAATTGCCTTGGTTAGTTTTCAGTAGCGTGTACCAGACTGGCAAGTGCGATGAGGTAGTTCGCGTGTACAGCTCACTCTAATCTTATCTGAGAAGTTTTCAGCTATTTATTTGAACATATAATCGTACAATTGAGTCGGTAGTGATTAAATGTGTTTCCTCGACACGGAGTCGGTGCTAGCGATAAGGGGTCACCTGGTATACGCCAAAGCCCCCTGACCGCATCAACACTTACAACTGTGCTGCCTAATAAAGGATTCAATTTACACGTCTTTAGGAGAAATTGCCAAATCTCTATTGTCCGATTAATGGTGAGGCAAAACAATTTCACATCTTCCCACTAGGAGTAAGCATTCGAAGTTAATTAACAGTGGAGGCCCAGTGAAAGATAAATGAGTGGGGATCAGAATACTGGGAGTAAGGCCAAGGCATTGAAGAAACTTACTTCACTTGATTTTATGATTAGAGTTGTTCTCGAGCCAAAATTCAAGTTTGCCTAGGCGTCATCTGAATTTCTGACTAAAAGCTTGACCCTGATATTCAGTGTATACTGAAAGTTTGTCAAATTATGACGATCGATTTTGCTACTTTAATTAATTGTCTTTCGAAGTTTGAAATAGCGGGTTGATCTTTCATGATGTTAATCGTCTTCCATTATCTTAACGCAATTGAACTGATCGTTAAGGTTACACTGCCCTATGTCAGATCGGTTTCACACAACTTTACTATCCCTTTGATATTTAATGAGTTCAACCTCCACAGTTCCTTTCTCATTTTCAAGATTTTTAGGAAATTGATGTACTTAAATAAAGCACACACACAACGCCAACTTTTCCCACTCAGTCTAGGCTAAAATTTCGAATAACAAAAGTAAAAATGATGGGGATATCTTAACTTATGTCCCTTTTCTTTTGAGCGAATAATACCAGAGAAAACAGTACCCCAATTTAAGTTCCACTACAATACGTCTAGCCACGTTGTCTAAAATAGAAAAGTAAAGGACAGATCAAAAGCAGATATAATCCAGGAAGTGGCTATATTACCAGGACAAAAGAGGAAGTTCCTAACACCAAAACATCATTCCCTTAATGGAATTATAAGTGAAAAAATGATACTTCGAGGACAGCTAAATCGGATGGGGTGGACAGATGAATTAAGTTCAAAGGGTAAGGGTGAACAAAAGATATGTAAATCGCAAGGGGAACATAAAATTCCCGACGATATGAGATGGGGGAGAGTCTGGCTGATTGAATTACAGAGACATGAAGAAAACACGTGGATCTTCAACGAATGACTTAATTTTTCTCAGAAACAATACTGCTTCCCTTCCATCGATCAGTCGGTGATCATAGGATAGAGCCACGTACATCATGGGTCTGATCACGATCTGCCCATTACGGACTACTGGACGTTCAAAAGTACCATGGAGACCAAGAATAGCGGATTGAGGAGGATTGACAATCGGTGTGCTGAAAAGAGATCCGAAAACCCCTCCATTACTGATAGTAAAAGTTCCACCATCCATATCTTCTACCGCAATATGGCCTTCCTTTGCTTTTTCACCCAATTCAAAAATGTTCTTTTCAATCGCAGCAAAATCCATGGATTCAACATTTCGTAGAACAGGTACAACTAGGCCCTTTGGGGAGGCTACAGCAATACTAATATCAACATAATTCCTATACACAATATGGTTTCCATCAATATATGCATTCACAATGGGTTGATCCTGCAGAGCAAAAGCTGCAGCTTTAGAGAAACTTGACATTATACCCAACTTAACACCGTGCTTCTTTTGGAACGTATCCTTATATTGATTGCGCATTTCAATGAGGTTTGACATATCGATTTCATTAAAGGTGGTGAGCATAGCACATGTGTTTTGGGCCTCTTTTAAGCGATCAGCAGTGCGCAAACGAATTCGAGTCATTTTTACACGCTGCTCTGTTCGAACCCCAGCAGGGAAAGAGGAGATTAGTGAGAATGGAGAAGAGCCAGATGATTGGTTGGGGAGAGGAGCCGGAGGAGAAGGAGTAGAGCGCAGTGGTTTGGGTTCTACAACTGAAGGAGTAGGCGGTCGAGGCGATTTAACTTCCACAGGAGCCGGTTCAGAATCTTTAGGAACCTCTTTGGGGTTTTTAACCTCACTGGCAGCAACTTTGCGTTCATCAATCCTGACAAGAGGCTGATTATATGTCACCTTGTCACCATCTTCGAACAGACGTTCAGTAATCACACCGCTGACTGGGGACATCACAGGGATGGCGGTTTTATCAGTTTCAACTTCAGCAATCACCTCATCTACAACGACAGTATCGCCAACTTCTTTCTTCCATACAACATCACCATCAGAAATTGACTCAGGAAAAGCTGGTACATTTACAGTGTGTATGTCAAACAAGAAAGAAGACGTGTGAATTGATTGATACGCCTGACGATGACAACAGATACTAAAGGAGAAGAAAAGAAAATAACGAATTCGAAAATATCGGATTAATTTAGAAATATAAATTCAAGATTTACGGAACACATGGATGAGTATTGCTTGCGAGGAGTGAGGAAAGACGACCAGGAATGCGCGAAAACACTTGTCTAGATATCATTTGAGTTCCCCGAAGCATTGTCCAAATAAAATTCGTCATATAAACAAATTCTAAAACACGCCCTTTTAAAAAGGAAGATTGTACTAAGAATACTTCGATTTACGACGTAAAGACAAACCCCGAAAACGTGAAAACAGATAACGATATGATTAATTAGGTGGGGCTTACATTAACGACTTAAAATATTTTATAAAGTTTTATTTTTAATAAGAGCTATTATTATTTAATATATATGAAATTAAATATAAGGGTAATTAAATATTTTAATATAATATATGTCTTGCATTAATATATTTTCTAGATAATAGGGATTATCTTGTTATTTTCTGTCATTGTTTCATAATTTTATATTAACATTTAATATATGCATTATATTAGCCGTTATTTCATGGCATCTTCATATTGAAATTATACGGTGGTGAACTGCACTTATCTTATATTTTTATGGAAAACCAACCAGGCACTCAAACATACTATACTTAGTTCTGCTACTTACATTAAACAACATTCAATTTTCAAAATGGATGATTTGACATTCTTGTTCAATCATTCATTTGAAAAGAGGAAAAGCTTTGAATCGCTTATTAGCTTGTGGTAAGTTCGTCGAATAGCACCAAAAGCATAGGTGACTTATGCAACGGCATAGTGACTCTTAATTAACAAAGAACACGGCAGTCGAGTTACCAAATGATAATTATCATGATGATCCAATAAAGTATAAAAGTATATGTACGTATGATGTAAAATGGTCATTTTTAAGATCTCAAATTTGTAGCAATTATGTATTTAGTTTATCGTGCTTGTACGTCCAATATTAAAATAGCCGGTTCTCGCTTCGTGTAAAAGTGCTTGCTAATTTTTTTGTATTATGAATGTGAATTTTCCCTTTAAATACTGCAAGGTCATTGGATAGCTTAGGCTCCCGTTGACCTGCATTTCACTCAGGTGGTTATTTACCTCATGTCCTTATAGGTTTTCTCTGCTTTTATGTCCTTCCATATATTTATATACTTTTCTGTGTACATATTTAATCATAAAATATTATTTTATTGTGTATTATATGAGTTTTTAATGATATTTTGTCTTTAATGATGGCGACATCGATACTAAACCAGCACGTGTCTAAATTTACTCCACACTCGCATATTGCTTTAATCTTGATCTATAGTTCATCCAATGGTGGGCGCATTTCCAGTATTCAAATTAGGAGTTCTTGCAGTAAAGCAGATTAGCCGTCCTATTGCAAATCGTCTTAAACAAAGGGCCACAGTTAACGGCTTTTTCCGCGCCTATGTTTGTATTCCTTCCGGCCAATGTGAGACAATTCGTTATTTTCTTTACCCACTTCTTGTTAGTTTATCACTTTTGGGACACGCGGCTTAAGCTTCAGTTGCTGGGTTTAGGCAAGCCAAAAGAGGTCAAGAAGCTAACAGATGAGAATGCCGCAGAAATTGGTGCCGGTATTCTCGGTGAAGTTATTATATTCAGCATCGGAACCTTCCTTATCTATCTCGAATATCGACGACAGGCTAGAAATGAGACCTTGAAGGAATGCAAAGCTCGCTCCGATGTGGAAACGCTCCAAGAAGCTGTAAAAAATCTCGAATCCCGAGTGGCTTCACAATCTGAAGCTATTTACCAGATGTCAAAGCAACTCGAAAGTGTAAAGTAGTATCCTTAAAGCTGCCATTTTTTGCCAGAATCTTTGTGCAATTATTAAATATGAATCTTTAGAAATTTGTATTTTTTTTCATGTGTGAATACACTGTTGAAGACCGTTTAACCATGTCTCATAGTTTATTTACATAAAGTGGGAGGATACATTTTTGGGGTCAGTTGTTATTTAAAAGCCCAATCCACCGTCATCCTCTGAATTGTCTGAATACATACGCATATCATCCAGAGGTCGTTTAATCTGCTGTTGCGGCGGGGTACTGGTATGAACACCTGGCAGAGTCTGACGTAATTGCTGTTGATGCCACATATTGGGACTTGGACTCTCACTTTGATAGCCTGAGAGTCGATTGTTATTGCCAGCACTTCCACCGCCGGAAAGAATCGCGTTGAGAGAGGTTGTATGACGGGGTTCGATCCAGCCACTACCGCTGCCATTCGATGGACCCATTCCACCTGGAGACGGAGTTATGTTAACCCCCGGCAAAACTGCACTCGGTGAATAAATCGCTGAAATAATGGGAATGTGACGTTTTATCATACTGTTAATGCGATAATCATTTAACAAACAGCTATTTGGAAAGAAGACAGCGAAAACCGATATCTGCTTCCCAATGTGATTCGTTGACGAAAATGACTAGTGAGAACAACCAAAGATTTTTCGTATGGCTGGCAGATAGGCTCAAAAGAATAGCACCAGTAATATAAAGGGAACTATGCAGAACTAAAATATTTAGTTATTTCTAACTTAATTCGTGTAAACTAAACGAGCAGAATGGGATGTCGACACGGTACAAGGCAGACTATCGAAACGTTAAGTTCCATTGAGTACATTTTGAAATAAAATAATGGGTAGCTAGGTGAATTTGACGAGTGTGATCAAAGATATGAATTGAGCTCGAACGCGCACCGTTCTAATTGCTGATTTTTATTGATTGCTCACCCAACGGACAAGAAATGCAAAACGGTCAACTTCTTGATTTTGCCTCATTATAACAAACCTTTTTCAGAGCTAGCAGTGACTATTATGACCTTCCAGCTGTTCAATATACGCATGTCTTAAGAGATCAGTGGTTTAGTGAAGGGACTCCTGAAGAAGTTTTGCTGGGTAGGATAAACGCTTTCATGTCGTGTCTTTCCAAATAACTAGTTTCGTTTTCTTTCCCTTAATGCCGAATCACTGAAAATGATGTAAAAACCCGTCTTTTAGCTCTCAAAGAGATAATGCCCAGTGCTAACGTTAATGCCTCTAAAAAATTTCAAAGCCAAGCTTCAATAACGATTATATAGTTAAACAGATAAGAGATCTAATTACTTTCTATTCATTTAGTTGTGTAATTGACCTAAAATAAAGTTTAGCCTCATGCCTGTGCGTGCGCCAAGCATGAGATGAGGGGTTCGAGTCTCATCGGCACACACCCAGCGAGTAGAACGGTTAGCTGTATGAGTTAATCCCGGCTAATTTAGTTCTAGTCGCATCAAAGAGGCTCTACCCTGTCGAACTATTCAAGTTGAGCGTTGCAAAACACGGTATTAAATGGGCTTGTTTAATAATACTGCAATATAAACCGATATCCAAAATTAATTGCGCCTCGGCATTGGCAAAATAAACTCGGGTAAGTTATACAATGTTGGATCACCAAAAGATTATGACAAGGGATATTGTAACAGTGTTAAGATTTCCAAAAATCCTAGCTACTCATTTTAACATCTACTATTGAAAAGACCGGATATAAATCTTCAGGACGACAATAATAATGATAATTGAGGCTTAATTAAAAGCCTTCAGTAGAATCTGAGTTCAAGAAATTACAGATATCTGCATTTTTCATTGCCTAAAAAAGATTAGTTGCAGCAAAATGTGATTGCATAGTCGAATTAATGAAATGATACAAAGAGATCCATACTGAGAGAAAACATTGTAGCTTCGGCTGGTGTTATAAGGTCGAATGCTTTAACAAGATAAACGAAAATTTCCCACAGTATGGACTTGAACCTCTTAATTCGGACGATGCTGATAGAATTTACTATCGGTAATTTTGAACGGAAGGTTTAATACGTTACACTATATGAATTTAGACTTGTACTATTGTCAACCATTTAGAATATTTTCGGATCTAGAAAACATTGTGCATTTGAACCTGGTTTCATTTAACGAAATAGATAACGAAGTGCCCATCAAAGTCTTCCATAACAAACATAGTGATTAATACCTCTGGGCACCCTAACTCTTAGTTTATAATGCCTTAATCGTTTGCTCCACAAAGAATAAGAAAAGAAATCTGACAACCACCATATGATAACTAAATAAACTATTCTAAACATAATCATTACATTCGGTAAGTACTGACGTTTACTCTTCGCTTTAGCACCCTTTCCAATACCAACTACTAACTTTTTTCTAACCTCTCACATTTCCTTGTTACCCTCAAATCTCCTTTATTGTGAGAAAGACAAATAGTTTAAAGAAGGATCATTATATTAGATCATAGAATATCATAATACAAACTGGGAACATATAGCAACGAGAACAGAAAATCTTAATAAAACAAAAGCAAACAAAAGGAACTAAATAGAGCAATATAAAATGGAGCTTTTAACATGTGATTCTGACAAAAAATAACCGCTCAAAATTGTAAGTGCATTATAAATTGTATTGATTAAACACTAAATGAAAACTTACATGAATTTTCCAGACTCTCTGAAGACACAGAAGTTAGATTAGGAAGTTGTGCACTTGAAGCAAGCGACATTTGTTGTTGACTTGGGGTTGCTTCCACAGCACCAGCAGCAGGCGTATTAACACTGGGCTGAAACTGAGCTACAGCGTCTTTAAGTGTAGGAAGAAATTTTCCAGAATCGTCTAAATGGCCTAAATAGCCCCGTCGAATTTCCTCCTTATTTGGGTAAGGCCGTCTTGGATCACCTGGTGTCCAGTTATCAGGAGCAACAGATCCGTATGTGCAGCTGATTCGATGAGCATATTTAATAAGCTCGTCAATGTCTGTTGGATTTTTAACTGCCTTCACCATAGAATCTAATTTTTGCCTGGAATAAAACAAAGCAGTGCACTAAACAATTGTAACAAACGTGCAAAATGTCATACCAACAGTAGCTCGCATTTTTTCAAATTCTGTTGACAGGCATTTATCTGCGCATCGGAATTTTCACAGTCAGCACGAATCCTTTCTATCTTAGTTTGAATTTCCATTTGCTCGGATACTACGCAGATATTGTTATATATGTGTTATTATACCTGTCTGCAATGTTGCTTTGAGTTCCTTATCTTTATCGAGAAGTGAAAAGATTATATGCTCAATATCATCATATCTAGGTCTCCGATTCACTTTGTCAAGCAAATCTTTTAAAAGGCAATCAAGATCTTCGAATTGTGCAAGCAACTTCTGTTTGGTAGGGATCCCAGTACACATCGTGCGAATAATAGGCTAAGCAGAAGCTATTTGGGTTAAGGTCACAACTAAAACATTACATTTAAATAAGAAGTCATATGGTAAATAAAATTAACACGTTTACTAGCGTCAAAACATTTTAGTGCGTTTATTTTGTAAAAACATATTCAGTCTCGTTCAACTCTGATAAAGATTTTTGTATAAGTTAAGACTTATGTTTTGCACCAAAGAATACCTAGAATTCTATTTTTTAAGTTTACCTGCCTTTAATAGATTTTCGAATAAATATATCAGTAACAAATATTAAATTAGATGCTTTTAACATGTCTAATGAAAATTCATTCAATGTATATCACATGGATCTGATTAATACATGCAAGGCGATTTCTGTATATTTCCAGGTGGCTGGAATCTTTTCATAGTAACTAATTTAATAAGTTTTATTACATTAAATTCTGTTACATATACTCGCACTTGTCTTCCATTCACTACCCCGATGGACACGCTTAAACTTCCCAAATGAAAAATAGCATAATTCAAAGTAAATTGCTGCTGTGTCTGTACATCGCATTTGAGCAATTGTTAATTATGATATGTATGATTTGTAAAAGGAGTGAATAGAATTTTTTATTTCATTCGATAGAATTCACCTTTAACCCGAGTTCTGACTAATACCGAAAAAAGATGTTTGATGTGTATATGATTTCATAATTATTCCACTCTATTACTGTCAATTTTATACTTTAAGCTCTTCCACCTCATGTATTTTTAATGCCTTATATCGAAATAGCTGGTTTGATTTCAATACCATTCAATTAACATTATCTAAAAATGAAGCTTTTACATTAGTTTAAACAATTTCATCAAATGCGGTGAATTCTATCTTTCAAATATGTTGGCGGAGCACAAACAACTTTAAACCGCACTCATCGTAAACAATAACAGGGTTAAAAGATGTTAGACATCTGTGGAACACGTCATCGCTTACACCTCATCGCATGCTCGCACGCCAGGATTGGGAGGTGCGGCCGTATAAACCGTGACCAATCATTAACCTCTGTTTAACCTAATCCGCCATCCTGATCATGATTAAGCTCCGCACTTTATCCACAATGTGCGTACTGAGTAAACGTGCTTCGTGCTACAACGAGTCTCAGGAGCGGTAAGCTTCCTGGAGAAGAAGGAGACCGGCTGGGTTTCACCTCTAACCACCTGTTGCAGAATTGCTCCGACGGCCACTTGAGATGCATCGGTCTTCAAAACGATTCGTGTCTCGCTGGAGGTGTCGAGGTGATTTAGAGTAGTTGCCCTGGTGAGCAGTTGTTTCACTTCCGTGAACGCGGACTCAGCCTCTGCTGTCGCCCGGAAGTGTCTTGGGTTGCCTTTCAGCAAGTCCGTGAGAGGCTAGAGTACTTGAGCGCAATTAGGAATAAATCTTCCGTAATAATTCATAATCCCAAAGAAACGACGGAGGCTCTTCACTGACTGGGGCATTGGGTAATCCAGGATGGATTGTGTCTTCTCAGGTAAGGGAGCGATTCCGCGCGCATTGATGAGGTGACCTAGGAATTCAATTTCGTCCTGGCTGAACTTACACCTCTCGGGGTTCACCGTGATCCCGTACTCCTGTAGACGTTCGAACACCTGGCGCAGATGTTGCCTGTGCTCCTCTGGGTTGGAGCTGGTGATGAGCACGTCGTCGTAAACGGAATCTGACCCGCGGAAGACTTGATCCATGAATCGTTGGAAAGACTGCGGCATTACGTAAACCGAAAGGCATACGTAAGTATTCGAACAGGCCGAATGGGGTGATTGTAGCCGTCTTCGCGATATCTTCTGGGGCCACTGGAATCTGATGATAGGCTCGAACTAGATCGAGCTTGGAGAAAATGACTTTTCCGTGCAGCTGTAAGGAAAAATCGCGGATGTGGGGTATGGGGTACCTGTCTGGCAGGGTAATGCAGCTGAGTGCCCGGTAGTCTCCACATGGCCTCCAGTCCGTTTTTCTTCGCGATCATATGCAATGGGGAAGCCCATGGACTGTTTGAAGGTCTAACGATCCCTAAGGTGACCATGTGTTGAAATTCTTGCTTTGCCGCCCATAGTTTATCGGGATATAGGCGTCGGGCTCTAACGAAAACAGGTTGCCCTTTTGTATTAATGATGCTGAACACTATGCTTGGTCCCTGAAATCTCTGATTGCGAACGAAAGATTGTGGGGAATTCCGATAGGATGTTTGTGTAGCAATTATCTACCGGGGAAAGCCTGTTCAGACCGACAGATCCTAAGGGGCGTTTCGAGCCGGTCACGCGCATGGATGTAAGATTGTCCAGTAGAGCGTTGTCTTTGAGATCGACTAATAACTGGAATCTTGAGAGGAAATCGGCACCAATAATGGGCTGTTGGAGGTCCGCAATATAGAAGGTAAACGGGAACTCTCGACAGAGGCCTAGGTCCAGATTAAGGAACTATTGTCCATAGACCTGTATTTGGGTATTATTAGCTGCTACGAGGGAGGTCCTGGCGGCTGGAGTATAGCGTTGTTTTGTATACCATGGAATAACACTTCGGAACCTGTGTCCACCAAGAATGTGAGTTCGGAGTTCTTGTCTGTAATGTATAGCAGGCGACTAGGATAGCTGCCAGGATCAGTCGTCGCATTTAATGCCTGGCGTGAAATTTTCCCGACGGGCTACGTGCTTTGGTCTTCACGTATGAGCATCCAGGCCTACATCTTCTGGCTCTATCCCCATAGGTTCGATGGAAGTAACATACGGTGTCGTCATGCCCTGATGGACTCCGACGCCTTCTAGGTGAATCAGGACGCCGCCCTCTTGGGCGTGAAGCGGAGGCTGTCATAAGCGCCTTCATTTCTTTAAACTGCTCAGTGAGGTCATCCAGTCGTGTAAATGTATCCGGGACAGCTGGAGTTTTGATGGCGTTGACACTTGGGCTGTCAAGATGATTATACCCGATCTGCCATCTCGGTCAACTTATTTAGATCGTCCTGGCATGAGCTAGTCAATACTGACGTAGCCAAATTTTTAGGTAGGCGTTTCAACTAAAAACCCTTTACAACTTCATCCGTCATCTCCAAACCACGGGCTAAGGAGTGCATGTGACTGAGTAGTTCGGATGGGGAACGATCTCCGATCTCATTCTGCGAGAAAAGCTGCTGTAACCGTTTCGCTGGGGGGATAGAAAAGCGACTGGTGATCGCCTGTTTAAGTTGTTCGTATGACTTTCTAAACGATCGAAAAAGGAGTCGGGGTGTGCTGGGTCGAAACTTGGGATACCGAAAGAAAGAGTCAAAGTAGTTTCTTCGGACATTATGATGTAAATAGGTATGGTTGACGGGAGAGTTGGATAGAGGTTGATAGTCCGGGTACGATTGAGCGGTCAAATAAATTCGTAACACCAAAATGAGGTCTCGCATGGAGTTGAATCAAATAGAGGTGTCCTCTCTCGATTTGCAAGTCCTAGCCATCGAACAAAAGTCGGATACAGATTTCACCGAAATCACATCCAACCCTTGGTTACGTTTCGGATGTTTACCTCTACCAGGCTCCGATACACAGATCCATTGCGACGTTTCAACCGGTAAGCCGAGACCATTTGTCCCCCAAGCATATCGCCGGAAGATTTTTTACCATTTCCACGGTCTGTCGCATCCGAGCATTCGTTCCACAACGAAGTTGATCACCGGCCGTTTTGTTTGGAAAAACATCCGACGGGACGTCCGTCACTGGGCCAAACATTACCTCGCTTGTCAGGCCAGCAAGGATCAAAAACATTCCCGCAGCCCGCTTTCCCCCTTCCCGAAGCCCGTTTTCACCACATACATGTCGATATTGTGGGTCCGCTGCCACCTCGGAATTCCTATACACATATCCTAACCTGTATCGACCGTTTCACACGTTGGCCGATCGCAGTCCCCTTACGCGACACTGCTACGACGGTGGCGAAGACACTAATGGTTTCGTGGATATCCATTTTCGGAGTTCCCGCCGTAATAACTACCGACAGGGGATCACAATTCACGTTCTGCATCTAGCGAATAAACGTATCGGTGATACGTCTCTTCTTCTATAGACTCGGTAATTGGGAGAATCTATCACAAAGGTTTCTGAGACTTAAGCCAGGCTTTACTAGCCTGACGTGATTGCCAAAGCCTGACTTCAATCGCTCACTGGCATCGGGATTTTCTCTCCTCATCCCTCAATTCACCCTTTCTGCTCGAATGATCATCACCTTACGTCCGCTGCCGTTACCCACATGTCAGATCCTGACTTCCGCTCAACAGAGCCTCGATCTCTCATCGGCGACGCGATTGTTCTTCACATCGCTCTCCTCATCTGATGGTTCCTTCACACGAACGATCAGCACCTCAACGGCATCTCAACTCTTTCCTTTCACTGGCTAGGACTCCCTCAGAACGCCCTTGGAAAAAGGCAACAGCCTGAGCACGTCGCGTTTCGAATGTCCATCTCTACGAGACTCAAGAACCCGTCCTTGTACCCAGTGGAAATAACAGCCGGAGCACCTTACAGGTCCCCAAAACTCTAACTCACAACTGCATTTCAACCGGCAAGCCGAGACCAATCGTCAGACAAGCACACGCCGTAAGATTTCCACCATGGATTGTCGCAACCAAACATCCGTTCAATAAGAACGTTGATCATCGATCGTTGACTCTGGAGAAACATCCAACAGGACGCTCGTCAGTGGATCAAGTACTGCCTAACTCGCACAGTCGGCAAGGTCCACAATCCTACTGCCTCCAACTCCAACAATCAACTCTCAGCAGCTCCAACACCTGTCCCACCTCTACCCAAAGCCCTGTTACTCTATGGCCGAAGATCTACCTTCCCCTCTCAACTAGTTGATTTTGTACATTGACTAATTATCAAGCATTTTCTTTACCTTTCAGCTCCCTACAAACGCTCTAGAGGAGGAGTATTGTGGGACACGTCATCGCATGCCTGCCCGCCAGGATTGGGAGGTGCGACCGTATAAACCGTGACCAGTCATTAACCTCTGTTTAACCTAATCCGCCATCCTGATCATGATTAAGCTCCCTGCGTGTACACTTTATCCACAATGTGCGTACTGAGTAAACGTGCTCCGCGCTACACGTCTGTTTCCTTTATAGCTGGGATATGGCATAGCTGGTTCTGGGAGTCTAGCTAGATGTTGGAGAATCTGCCATAGAGATTTCTGAGTCGGTCAGGCTTTACTAAGGTAGCAATCCGCAATCATATCAAATGAAGGAAATCTGATTATATTTCGAAAACGCGAAAGAACAGTACTAGTATCAAGTAAAATCCAGAGTAATGAATGTACAAATATTATCCAACTCAACCAAAAGGTAAGAGAGTCTATTAAATCTAAAGCACGTCAGACGATGGTTTGATAGAAGACAACCCCGAGAGAAGGGGATTTTTGAAAGGACTTGGTTTTCGCTGGGGCAGAGATGCAGGCACTACAGCAGATTGTTCATTTTGCCGATGCTGAACAGATGATATGGAGTGCATTCGTTCTCGTTGGGCATCAGGAACGACTTCAGTAGTACCTGGTTTCATGATGCCACCACTTGTGCTATTCGCTCTCAAGTAATCAGTGGGAAGCCGAATCTGTGTAGGAGGGGCTGATTCCTTCTCAAGGAAGCTTGCCAACATTTCCACAAACGAATGCTAAAATTGTGCAAACTTATTAGCAATTTGGTTTAACGAACCATAAACAAGACTTAATAACAAACTATGCAAATTAAATATATTGCATTCAATTCCAGTTAGCGTTCTACTAGCTTTTATCTAAATTTAGATTTTTGGTGCTGTGAGATAACCAATAGGTTTATATCTAGTTAATTGCCCAACCATAATTACAATCAGATTGAGCGGGCTAATTCCCCAGTCGACCGTCAAATTCGATATTTTATTTTTCTGGAATAGAAAGTGAACTTAACATGAGAGACGTTTAAAAAAAGGTATTGAAAAATATTTCCACTTAACGAACTTGGCCTCACTTTGTCAAAATTAAAATGATATTAAAAACCCAATTAAACTCACCTCTGATTTAGGATTCTCCCGGTTATTTGGAGTTCCTGGTCGCCAAAAAAGGTCCTTCCAGTTTGTTGCAACCGGCTCATCAAAACCAAGCTAGAACAAAAAATAGAAGGAATAATTTCGAGAAAATCATAGAGGTTAAGAATATTAACCCATTCACTTAAGATTGTGAGAGGTGACACTGTGGCATATCCACGACTACTGGATGCTCTTTAAAATTATCTACTCATTTAAGATTTCACCCCCCACCCCACTATGCATTGAGCTCTGCTCCATTCTTCCCGCGCGATTTTTCTCAATCCTTCAACCTTGCATGTTGAGCTTAGAGTTGCTTCAGTTGGATACTTTTTTGCAAAATTTTGCTAGTATTCATAATTAAAGTCCCTGCATTCGTTATGGCTTTTTAGTGGCAAGACTCGCGGAAACTTGAATGAGCAATAGCTCAGTGATAGGAAGGCCGTTGGTACAGAATCTGTGTTTTGTTTCACATTGGATCCTCAAGCCGTCTGTCAGCCTCATCATAAGGCAGGTAAACTTGACTCTTGACAAGCTGACCGATAGTGGTGGATGGATAACCAACTGACAATTATGCGAAAGGCCTTTATGCCCACGAATAGTGCCTTAGACACAGGCTAATAAGAATAGCACTATCTGGTAGCAAACTAGATTGAAATAGGAGAAATAAGGGTTTTGACGCTAACACCACTAAGCAAGTTGGCTCATAATATGTAAATCATACCAAATTATAATCCTCTGCGGTGAAGTTGAGAACGCTTCCAAGGGACCTAAAAGCATCGGGTCGTTTCGATGGCGGTAACTTCATGCAGCTGATCAGGAGGTTTTTCGTAACGGACCTATTTACCAAGGCAACAAACATTTTTACCAACTGTGACAAGCTAGTGAGAGAAAAAGGTGCAAGTTGGGCCTACTTATCCAATTTTCCATTGAGTTCAATTGTCTTCTCGTTGAGCTCATTTTTGAGAACCTGAATACGCTCTTCATACCGGCGTGCTAAAAATTTAAATAACAAAAAAGACAGCTATTAGAGAAGGATTTGAATTTTTTATGTGTCAGTAACTCAAGGAACAGATAATTGAAAATCAGATGACCATTAGAATTAAGATGGTGAGCCGAGCCATACAAATGAAGAACTCATGACTGACGACTCAATTCAATCTACCGACAAATTAACAGCATGACCATTGACCACAGCCTGAGTACTTAAAGGCATATCACAAATTGTAATATTTTAGCTTTAAGCTATTACGAAACAAGAAATAGCAGGGACTCAGATCACTAGATCGACAAGCCCTGAGTACCTTGAGCATAGTCTCGCCCATGAAAATGGAGGTCTGATAATGAGTATCAGGAGTGAACCCTATGAGAACATGGACTATTCAATGCCATCTGAATTCAAATTAGGTTGTCTTTGTGCTTCCAATCGTTTGAGTCCTTCCCGTTCTTTAACATAGTGGCCTCTTCGTGCCCTAATTAAGCATTTTTCATAAATTGCGAGTTTCGTAGGAAGTGACACAACACGACAATAAAGACAGCCGTAGAGATTAAATAAAATGTCTTCTTTATTAGCAATGATCTTAGAGATGCTGAGATATAGAGAACACAATTTTGTAAAGTAGATAGAGCCAAATGAACACACATTAATAGATAAAACACAATACATGTATAGTAAAAAATAGGGAGTACTTTAAGCAGCCATTTCTGAGCTGTTCTACTTCTGGAGGTGGTCCCACTTGTATCAATAAAGTCGGAATTGGTACTCAGTTTTATATCAGTTAGTAGAAACAAAAAAACAGTAAATAAAAAAAAGACCAACCCAAAGCATGTGCCTCGGAGAGTCTATCAGCATGACGACCAAGCTGCTCTTGGAGTGATCGATTATTATCCTCCAGGCTCTCCAAACGAGAAACTTCCGTTTTCAACCCAGAGATTGTATGTTGCAATTCTGCCATCTCTTTTTGCAAACGTTCATTTTCCGTTCGAAAGTGTTGGGCGGTTGCATTAGTTTCCGCCTGTTGCTCTAAGGCAAGAAAAGCAACAAAAATTGCATGTACAAGACATTTTGCCAATCACAAATTTTACTAGCCACAACAACCACCTGCCATTTATGCTGATTGAAGCATGTGATGACAGAAGTAAACGCACAACTTCAAATGGATATTTATTAGGGGGAAAAATGCGTTTTGCGATAAAAAAGGGAGCGTATAGCACATATGAAATTCTAAAGTCAATCGTGTTTAGTGATTTTACACCCAATACCAAGCACTTGAGAGTTATAATTTACAATCGAAAGAATAGAAATCAACGCCACAGATTTGGTAAATAAGTTTTTTGGCAAAAGAAACGTCAAAAATTCAGTTTTAAAACACAGAAAACTATTTTTTCGGAAGAGGGGGTGTGCGATGGACTTACCCCCACGTGGTACACCCTGGGCAACGCATTCTCATACGGCAAAAAAGTCCATAAACTGGAAGTTGACTTCTGACTTTAATCTACCATGATCACAATATATGTCATATTCGATCCATTCCGCAGTACTCATCTTACCTTTTCTATGCCTTTGTGTCTGTCTGTCTCTTTTACATCTGTAAATCAATCTTCTGCTTCTCCCTCTCCACTTTTTGAGACATGGGGTGTGCGATAGACTTACCTCCACGTGGTGCACCCTGGGCAACGTATACTCATACGGCGAAAAAGTCTATTAACCGGCAGTTGACTTCTGACTTCAAACTACCACGACCCCCCTGGTTGTCATATTCCACCCATCTGTGATTCGCTCTTCTCTTCCCCACCCCTCGACTTTCTGCTACTTTGATGAACCTTCCCTCTGTGAAGCCCGAAGTCAGCTAAAGG